TAATCACTTTATCTGATTTTGTGGATTAAACTTGTAGGTGTATTCTGATCTGGAAGTTGCTTTTGCCATTTCTGAAGATGCAGCTGTATATAAAGCGTTATCACAAACTATTGAGCTATTGGAAGGCCACACTTCTCTGATCAGCCAGCACTATTACGGCTGCCTTTTCCATGAGCTTCTGGCATTTCAAATTGCTGACCGGCATCCACAGCAAGAGGTAAAGGGTTTACCTCATCCATAAACCATGCTTACCATTAACTTTCATGTTCAACAGTTTCCCTTTGTAACGATTAATGAACCTTCCCCTTAGCATAAGTCAGGTAGTCCTTATCTTCACCTAGTTGGATAGTAGCTACTCCCTCCATTCCAAATTATAAGTCGCTTTGACTTTTTAGGTTCATCCATTTTGCTATGTATTTGGACATATTATTATATCTAGATGCGTAGCAAAATGAATGTACCAAAAAAGTCAAAGCGACTTATAATTTGGAACGGAGGGAGTACTCAAAATGAACAGCTAAATGTGTAGTAGGATGACCTATTTTGTTTTTCAGACCTTAATAATGTTATCCTTTTATTGTTGCATTATTTATCCTTGCTCTTTTTCAGAGACAACCTGCAGAAGGAATACCTCAGCAGATGATAGGATTTTCTGATCCAGCTATGTCTACCCTAAAGGCTGCTGAATTTTTCGTTCCTGATTCAGCTGAATCCAGCATTATTCATATGGATTTAGATCGCAGCTTTCTGCCAGTACCTTCTGCAGTGAATGCCTCTGTTTTTGAAAGTTTTGTCAGGCAGAACATCACTGATTCTGAAACTGATGTCCATTCCAGCATCCAACAGCTGGTGAAAGATAGCTATGGTTTATCTGCAGATGGTTGTTCAGAAATTATCTATGGCAACACCTCCCTAGCACTCTTCAACAAGCTTGTTCTTTGTTGCATGCAAGAACAGGGCACCTTGCTTTTCCCTTTGGGCACCAATGGCCATTACGTCTCTGCAGCAAAGTTTGTGAACGCAAACACCTTGACTATACCGACAAATTTTGATACAGGATTCAGGATTGAACCAAAGGTTCTAGCTGACACTCTTAAGAATGTATCTCGGCCATGGGTGTATATTTCTGGCCCCACGATCAACCCTACTGGTTTTCTGTACAGTGACAATGATATTCAAGAACTGCTCTCTGTATGCGCTGAATATGGAGCTAGGGTAGTGATAGATACCTCCTTCTCTGGCCTGGAGTACCAAACTGATGGCCGGAGTCAGTGGAATCTGGAAGGATGCCTTTCCTCTTTGAAACGTTCAAAGCCATCATTCTCTGTGGTCCTGCTTGGAGAGCTGTCCTTTGAGTTGACTGCAGCAGGGCATGACTTTGGGTTTGTGATATTGAGCGACTCATCATTGGCTGAGACGTTTCATAGTTTCCCCAGCTTGAGTCGGCCGCACATCACATTGAAGTACACTTTCAAAAAACTACTGGGCCTTAAGAACCAGAAGGATCAGCATTTCTCCAATCTAATGGTGGAGCAGAAGGAGGAACTGAAGAATCGTGCCAACCACTTGATAAAGGTTAGCCCATCATACACTCTGAAACTCTTGTCTGATTCCATCTATGATCTATCCTTTTTCACACTTGTGCCCCGTTGAAGTAAGATCAACTGAACGTAGCTGATTATACCCATTTCATTTCACTACATTTAAATATCTGGCTGCGACTTGATAAACACATCTGGCTATGAACTGAATGTTATATTGGTCAGTCATCCTCATTTTGTCATTGTACAATGAACAGACACTGGAGAGCTGTGGCTGGGATGTTGCCATTGGTTGCGGTGGCATCTCAATGCTGGCGAAGCCCACTGCCTACATCGGGAAGCCCTTCAAAGCCGATGGTTTTGAGGGCAAGCTGGATGCGAGCAACATCAGGGAAGCCATCCTCAGGACCACTGGGCTCTGCATAAACAGCAGCTCCTGGACGGGGATCCCTGAGTACTGCCGGTTCAGCTTTGCTCTGGAGAGCGGCGAATTCGAGCGTGCAATGGGATGCATAACTCGGTTCAAGGAGTTGGTTCTGGGAGGCAGTGGCCAGGCTCAGATGAATGGTGTCTGATGGAGTAGGCTGATACGCTTTTGGGAGGCAATCCATCTTTGTTTGGAAACCTTATACGCACCTTAGCGCTTTGTACTAGTGGTAATATTGTTCCGGGTGATGGAGATATCAAACATGTGAATTGAATGTGCACGGAGAATAATGAAGCAAAGGAGAATGCCGCGCCCATTCTGTCTTCGAATTTCTGTGCTGTGCACGGGCAATAAACATATAAGTCCCTTTTCGCTTCTCTTATAATCCTTACTTTTTAGCTTGTTTTTTAGCCGGAACAGTATTTTTCTCTCACAGCAAATCAGTTGGAACAGTGTTTCAGCTTGTTTTTTCAGCGAATGTGGTCTCTGGTGCTCAACTGGAGAGGCCTTAGCAGATTGCTATCCTCACATGCTGCTCTCCTGCGTCGTTTGAGAAAAAAAACATATATTGCTAAGATATATTGGAGTTGAATAACCTATGGAGGTCACGGAGCTTTTACTGTTTCCATTTCTAGTTTTTCTACTAACACATATACCACCACCCCATATCTCTTCCACTTGTCCCAAGCACCAATAATAAACAAACACTGGAAAGTTATTTCAGGCCATTGATCAATTTTTTTCATTAAAATACACGAATTTTGTAATGTAAACTGATGCCATTATATTGTACAACTACACATTAAGTTCAAACGGAGGGAGAAGAAGCTGGTGAGAATTGGTTTCCAATCATCTATAGTATATTATTAATTATTTTTTTAAAGCTATTAATCAATTATTATTTTTACAAAACCTCCTAGGCATCTTGTACCTGAATTATATTAAAGACAACAATAACATGTAAAGGAGAGATCACGCTGGAAAAAATATAATGAAATTTGATGAAGTCTTTACCTCACCATATCCATAGCAACCATGGCAACATTATATTGTCTCACATGGCGAATGAAAGACAAACAGCTAGCTGAGTGCCCGATGGCTTTTCAAGACCACAACAATAGTCTGTCTGAAGAGTTAATTTGTAGAACTACTAATGATCTGTTTGGAAAGACAGAAAAAATTTCACGCATTCCAAGCAAGTCCTAAAGAAGATTGGCGAGACATTGTCATGAGCCCAAAGTCAGATCTACTTATAGCCACAACCAATCAATACAACCAACAAACCTCACAAAACCTGTGTCACTAGTGAGGTGGAGAGAGATGTAGAAGACCATTATTCCAAAGAACATCATCAGATCTACTTATATGCCACCACCTGTCAATGCAACCAAGGCCACGTTTAGTTGGTCACCAAGTTGGCTCCGACTGATTTCGCGAAGCACTGTAGCTACAGTAATTTGTTCGTTTTTATTTGATAATAATTGTCAAACATTGACTAATTAGGCTTAAAACGTTCGTTTCGTAAAGTACAACCAAACTGTACAATTAGTTTTTTATTTCGTCAACATTTAGTACTCCATGCATGTACCACAAGTTTAATGTGACGGGAAATCTTCTTTTTGCATAGTGTCAAAGTTGATATTTTGGATGAACTAAACAGGGCCCAACAAACCTCACACAACCTGTGTCACTAGTGAGGTGGAGAGAGATGCATAAGACCATTATTCCAAAGAACATCGTCAGAGCATCTCCAATAGTCCAAAAAAAAGAATGATAAATCAATAAGTATTCCAAGCAGCTAAAAAAAGTTTAAAGTATATTTATTGGGTTCTTTCAACAGTTTTTTAAATCTCACTCCTAAAATATAAAATACAATTTTGCATCAAGAACTCTAGACTATATTCAAAATCACCTTAACCACTTCTATACTTTCTTTATCTCTTATACATTTGCAGTGGGTTTCTACTCGTTATTCTTCCCCACGTCCTTCTACCTCCAGATTGGCCGATCGATATGCGCGCCTCTATTTCCGCGCAATTGGGTCGATTTTCCCAAGTACAAAAATATTAGGAGTTGAGATATGGAGTTGTTGGAGAAAAAATATTTTTAATATTGCCAAAAAATAAAGATTGTGAGTGTTTTTTTGGAAACTCTTGGAGACGCTCTCACATCTATTTATTGCAAGTAACCCACACTAATAAATAAGTTGCTAATTAAAAGGAATGCATGGAGATGCAGTTTGCCATCTCAAGCTAATATGATTCCAAACTAGGGTCAAAGAGCTAAAAACATCATGTTTTTTTTTTTCAAATGTTGAATCATAAAAATGGTTTTCTAGAGGGAGAATTGATTAAACAAGCAAAGAGAAAATAGCAAAAAGAAACAAAAAAAACATCTTTTTTTTTGAGGGGAACAAAAAAAAAAACATCTACTACATCAAAGAAAACAGGTGTGCCTTAAGTAGCAGGCAGCAGCCCAGAGCCCAGTAAAGATGGCATCTCCCATCCTTTCCTTGCGCAACCCCGCCCCGCCTCCGTCGCCGCCGACCTGCGCGGGTGCGCCACCGCCCACCGCAACCGCCGCTCCGGTGCCCGCAGCCCGCTTGCTTCGCACTTCGTCTCAGGCCGTCAACTCGTACTCCGCATCTCAGGCCGTGCTGTGCAGCATCCAGCAGGGTATTTGTGCTTTATTTCGTATTGTGAATCTTTAGTTCTTCATTCATCCCTGTTTCATGTATTGTTAACGCCCAGTACCAATGCTCAAGAATTCTAGGTCAGCCATTGCTTGCTGGTACGCCCCAGCCCCACCTCATCCTGTCCTCCTGTGATTCCATGGTGATTTGGAGTTGCTCTTCTTGTCTCCGTGGATTCATTCCCAGAGCGGCATGGAGGAGGCACTACCCACTCTTGTCTCCCAGGCCTACTGCATCGCCGCCTATCCACCACTTCTTCTCCTCCTCCGCTCGACGGTCCACCAAGAAATCTGCCGCAAAGGCGCTAATAAACTCTTCCATTCTTGCCGCGAAGGCGCCAATGGAGAAATCTGCCGCAAAGGCGCCAATGGACTCTTCCAGAGAGTCCTTCTATGTCATCCGCAAAGGGGATGTCATTGGCATCTACAAGACCCTCAGTGATTGTCAAGCCCAAGTCAGCAATTCGGTGAGGACGATAGACTGACACATCATGACTTTACCTTCTCTTACCACGCGCGAGGATTGCTATTGCTTGATTTCTTGCTTATGATATGAAATATATCCTGCTCCGACCTAGGTATGCGACCCTCCAGTCACGGTCTACAAAGGCTATTCTCTGCGTAAAGAAACTGAGGAATATCTTGCTGCACGTGGGTTAAGAAACGTTGTCTATTCCATTGATGCAGCAGATGCAAGGGACAAATTGTTTGGCGATTTGGTTCCCTGCCCTTTTCAGGTAAACAATGCAGTGCTCTATGTCTCCATCACTGGCCAGTGTTTTACACTACAGATTAATCCGATTTCTAGACATGGTATCCATTCATATAGTAATATATAAAGCCACACATTATTATCACGAAAATAGTTTTGTGTCTATACATTATATAGTAGTATCTATATCAACGTCGCTAGGCAACTGCCCCTGATTCTCAGGGCCTTACTTTGTTTCACACAACTTGAGTGTTAAGCGAATCTTTTAAAAGTCATATCTTCAGGTGGTTGTGTTGCTACTTGATTTTGTATTTTTTTTCCATGACATTTATTTTACAGTACTGATTTATGCAAGTTTCATTTCAGCAACCTTATGAAACCAAACAATCTACTTTGAAAATGTCACAGGAGATGGTAAGATATTTTTTTCTTCATGATAAGTGTGAATGTATGATCTCTTCAAAAGTGCTCCCTACAATACTTATGAATTTGTTATTGTCTTGTTTACTCACACTGACTATCATTTTCTGAAGGAAACCAGACCATCAGAGCATCCCAAAGCTGCTGATCTGGAAACATTACCTGATAGTGAAGTGAGTATATGAATGAAATATGCTTACTTCTGGCTTCTTGCCTGATTTGTTCTATACTTATGTAGTTATGGGTTGATGTATACTTATGTAGTTATGGGTTGATGTCTGCATGTATATTTGTGATGTACCTTCACTGTTTTGGGAATCTTGAGCTCTTCCCACCAGTGCACTCTATCTTTTACAGCTCTCTTGTATTCTTGAATTTGATGGTGCTTGTAAAGGAAATCCTGGGAAATCAGGTGCTGGAGTCATAATTTGGCGGTTAGATGGATCTGTGGTATGTACACCAGTCTTAGCTAAGCTGTTTTTTCTTTTCTTCAATTATCATGCCGAGCTATTTATTGTGTTCCCCCCTTCTACTGAAGATTGCTCTACTACGTGAGGATTTGGGTATTATGACCAACAACGCTGCTGAGTATCGTGCATTGATCATGGGGCTAAGTTATGCTTCCAAGAAGGGATTCAAGTATATTCGTTGTCAAGGTGAATCTAAGCTTGTCTGTAACCAGGTGAGTTGCTATTTCTCGGCTTTTGTAACGAGTGCTGCAGTTCATTCTAAGTCTTCAAATTCCACTAAAACACTAAGTGTGTGGAGGGCTGGCAATTTTAAATGGTTTTTCCTCATGGACTTTGATCTGAAAGTCATATTCTGCAGTTTTTCTTCACCAAAGGAATCTTTTTATTCCAATCACTTAAAATACATGGCCCAAAGTACATGCCACAATGATAGAATCAGGTCTCATTTATATTAACGGGCCTTCATTTCTACAGCATATGAAGTCTGGTGAGCCTAGATGCTAGAGCACTTGGAATAGCTTGTCTAGCTGCGAGCAGCTCTAGCAACATTCAACTATTTGCAAGCTGCTCTAGCAACATTCAACTATTTCATAACAAGAGTAACAGTTATGATTTCTGGAGCAGGTTCGAGGTGACTGGCGTGCTAGGAGTGATAATATGGCTGTCTTGTGCGATATAGCCAAGGAACTAAAGGAAACATTTCTTACATTTCAAATCAACCATGTTTTGAGGGTAGGTCTCACATTTCCATTGTCATTTGGCCTTGTTCACATTTACTGCTAGATTCGTGGTACAACACGTGTTAGCTAGACATTAGCATAGCATTAGTTCAGAATGGATGGAGTGGCAAATGATGTTCAAGGCTGTTGCTTCCAGTTATCCCAATGTCAGGTGCTAGTTAACATATTTATTCCAGAATTTCATCAATCTTTATGACCTGAAAACATCTAGGTTGACAGCTCTATAGATTTGAAAGAGTTTCCTAGTTTGATTTAGCAGTCAAGACAAGGTGGTGATTTTCAGCAGCCCTCTGAATACCTCTCGAGTAGGAACTCGAAATTTGATCTGATTGCATGGCAGGCACATATATAAATTCTACTAGATTTCAATCGCACTTGGAGTTTTCTCCATGGCAACTAATCCTTGAAAACATTGTTACTAAAATTTGTTTGTTACACAGGAATTCAACTCGGATGCTGACGTTCAAGCTAAGTTTGGAGCCCAACTTGCTGGTATGAGGCTGCTGTGATTACCTGACCTTTGAATTGCTAGCTACAAAACAGATATCTGATTTGATCTCTTCCTTTGTACAGTTGATGAAGTTCAAGAGCTGTCCGTTTGTTGAGTTGCCATTGGCAGAGAAAACAAGACTTGGGACTTGAGAGCATAGACTATTAATACTAATTGACCCAGGGGATTACATCACAGGGTGTAGTTGATATTAGATATTCACATCTGTGTAGTGCCAATCCACTGTATTTTGGAAGTCAAGGCAGAAGTTAAAGTGTTGCTGGGGAAATTTTCTTCTCTTGTGCCCTGCCCTGCCTTGCCCTCCGTTTTTTTACATGGTGTATTAGGTTTGACCTAAGTCAGATTTCTAAAAATCCATGTAGTTTCACAACATGTGAACTATATATTATGAAAATATTTATTGTAATGAATCTAAAAACATAATATTTTGTTTTTAACCTATACATTTTTTTAAAAAAAATTATGGTCAAAGATAAAAATATTTGACTTATGACAAAACTAATCTATAAATATATAAACGGAGAGAGAGAGAGTATACGTATGACCATTGTTGTAGCAAACTAGTATGGCGGCGCGCGCATTCGCGCGCCCGTGGCCTCATACTGTTTTATTTATGGGCCGGATACCTTTTTTTTTGGGTTTGTTATATCACTGTGTCTGCACGTCTGTTGGCTGGTACCGTGTGTTATCTGGGCCTAAGATGTATCAATCAGGGCGCCGTGGCTTGGATAATCGAGGCTCGATGATATGTGAGAGCACAATCCTTTTTCTTTTTTTCTTGGCTCTGTGCGGTGTGCTAAAGGGGGGGCGCCAAAGGGTGTCAGCAGGAAGTGGTTAGGAGGCTATGGATTTTGCTGTATATTTGTGGGAACTGCTTTTTAGTGTTGGGACCTACTGTCTTATCGGGTTTATTTTGTAACATAGATCTCTTTTTTTTATATTTGCGAGGTTTGTGTATACTTAAATTTCGTTGGCTGGATATCACCTGGTGGTACATAGATTCTCTGTGGAGCATGGTAATGCTAAGAAAGCGGAGTTGTGCCAGTAGTCTGACGATATTTTAGTAGGATTTATCTAGGATTTACAAAAGGCAAATATAGTTTCATATACAACTGGAACGACATGATTTCATAGCGACAGTTCGAACTGATACATCCATAGTATGTGGTAGTCTTAGCGGAGTCTATAGCAGGAAAAGTCGTTAGCAGGATGTATCTAGGTTCCATACACATCGAATATGTTCCCATAGCTATGTCTATATCACAGACATGACAAATACTACATAGAAGTTGATGCATCATAGCCTGATGCATGTACCACAGAAGTCGATGCATCGTACTCTGATAATTTACATATAGGTTTTATTTCTTCGAACGGCAGTTCTTCGTAGGACGCAAAAGCTTGTTATATGTCGGCAATAGTGCGGCAGCACCTATATGGAACAATAAAGGAAGAATGTTTAGTATTTGAAACTAACTGGTGTGAGACAATGTATTGTGTATGTCTCTGTCCAGAACTAAGTCAGTTATGTGATAAGAGTTGGCAAGGAAGACCTTATGTTTTTGGTTGTTTATTGGTACATATCAGTCACATGCTGTTTGGAGAATGTTACCTCTTGCGTACCAGAGACGCTGCTTCACTTATGTGAGTCGCTACCTGCATCATCTTCCTGGTTTATTTTTTTCTGCCTAGGAAAAAACCAGTCAGCACTATACTCGGTTTCTATGTTTAGAGGTTGTATGTCAACATGTTTGGACATAAAAAGATGGTAAGTTAAAATTCTTGAAAGTATACTTCTTTGATTTTGACTCCGAAGAGGATGCACGCGGTTCTTTGGCACGATGTTCTTCTTCTGTCTCTGTAGTTTCGTCCGAATCGGCGTGGCCGAAGAGGTTCTTGCGAGCACTTGTCCGTGTTGTTGGTGACCTTACATAAATTGGAATTGTGCACTGATTACGTACACTGCTTGTAAGCACTATATATGTATTTATCTATTACGGAGTTTCAATGTAGAATGGTGGATTATTATGTACCTATCGACATCATGTTTGGAGGCTTCATGGTCTAGTTCGCTACCAGGTGCTGGAGTCTGTAACACGAAAAATTTGTTGAGTGGACTACAGCTAAATAAGCTGGAATGGTGTTGCCAAACAAGCTGTAAAATCTGCTTACAGATTGTGCAGCGGCCTCAATCAGAAGTAGATCGGCCGAATGCTCTGGACTCTTAATGATTGGTGTTGAGCTTGTTGTGTGAGGTGGGTGATACAGAGATGTTGCCATGATCTGCAGCGAAGGCTGCTTCGGTGGCTTGTCTAGAACTGCTTTGACTTGGTACTGCCTTTTTTTCATACTTTTGCACGATCCGCTGGTAAGATCAACTGACAACACATATGTCTTGTTAAGTATGTTGTGCATTGCCTGAGGCAATCCTTCTTTTATATGCAATGGGTTCACCAATGCCTGGCAGTCTTTTTGAATTATTTTGCTCGCTTCATCATCATATGCAAAGAACCGTGCTTCATCTGTGTCATCTTTTGCAATAAATGATAATAGGTACCTGCACAAGTTATAAACAATGAAAGGTGTAGATACGTTGAAAAATATTCAGTTCATGTATGGATTGGAAATGGTATTAAGCTAATGAAAAGGTACCTAGGAACTGTGGTTGTGCCTCCACACTTTGGGCATCTGTAGGTACCATCTAGTTGTTGATCGACTCTTTTTTTGCATGGCTTGCAAGACATGTACCACCGCTTAGTAGTGTTTGTAATAGACACAATCGTTCTCGCAACTTTATATGGTCCTGCTTTCTCGCACCGCAGAGAAATAATTCGAAGTTTTTACATTATGACCGGTCTGGTTAAGCTAACAAATTTGATAAACAAATTTGATATGGCATTGGTGAAAGAGCTATAAAATCCATCTGGAACATATGTAATAGGAGGCTGTTTAGGAGGATGAGTTTACAGCTTTATCTTGTTTACTATGTCATCAAAGGGATCAACATGGTTCAGGTCAGCTATAGTTTTTTCTGGTAGTTGAATGTCTTCGACCGAAGCTGGAACCGCCTCTTCTTCTGGCGCAGGTCGGTCGATGTAGACTGGCATATTTTTGAACCTGGTGATACAAAGCATATTAGTACAAACGTTCAGCCATCTTTCTCTCTCTGTCTTCTTTTATTTTTGTTTGGGTTGACCTCCATGTGGCTATACCTAGAGTGATAAGCACGGGCGTCTAGAATGGTAGGGTTGAAATAGTAAGCGCAAGCTGAGCTTCCAGTTAGACATGTTTTATCTGCAATAGTAAGGAATAAAATGGTTTGTAGCGCGTGTATCTTAAAGCTATGTTAGTCCCCAATGCATATGTAAATATATTCAGAAATGTTGAGACCAATCTGGAAAAGAAGGCTCTACCATTGTTTTTGAAATCTTCACGCAGTATGCAACCAACGACAAGGCAAACAATAAGATTACCAGTTGTAGCATCGTATATGTTGTCGATACTAAAATTTGTGGCATGCTCACCCCATAGGGTAATCTTCATAACATTTTCACTGCATAAAAGTATATTTTGAGGCAGTAGGACAGAACCACTGTTATGTAAGTTATCGTAGGGGCAAGTGATACATACCCTAAATCCTTAATGTAGATTTCTCTGAGTGTTTTAGCCTTTTCCATGTTCTTTGGAACAAATGTGTGAGCTGCCTCATACTTAATGAGATATCCAAGGACATCTTGTAAAAAGATCGATGCAACTTTGTCAGTTAGCAGATTTATATAGCACGTACAAGGTAAATCTATCTAGAAATGATATTTGAAAAAATAGCTCACCTGTCAGGTTGAAGACGACTCGTGCTGGTCTAATGGCTCGTAATGGAGTGATTCTATAAATGTACTCTGGAATTGAGCGTGGAGGATTCTGAACAAGCTCAACTGTTGTGTAGTCTGTAATGTCTATCATGAGGTTCTTGTCAATTGCTCTGTAGCTCTTTTTGGCATTCTGGACGACAAATTTCTTAACAACATAAACTTTCCCAACATCGAAAAGATAGGCTTTGTCATCCATGAGGTCATATGAAATTTCAGCATATATGGCATTTCCCTGTTATTGTAGGTATTAAGCTGATTAGATTGCATGTCAATGTGTATGAAGTACTGTTTCTGTTGATTGTAAATATGTGATCCTTATGGTTAACACAAAGATAGTATTATTATCTTTTTTAAAGAACTAGTACCAGTACCTTTGCGTCTGCCACAACCATCCCAACGTACTGAGGTGGACCCTGTCCATTGTTTTCGTAGTGAACCCACTTCCTTACGACTCGAACAACAATGCCATGCGAGTGGCGTCCTTTTTCTAGCTTGTCAAGAAACGTTGGTTCCTGCATGATGGACCTGGCACACACACAGCAGCAATTCATAAAGCTATTTATGCGTACATATAGTTTGAGGAGAACCCAAATACATTGAGGTACAGTGACGAAAGATGTAGAACCAGTAATGCAAATCATGAGTACCAAAAGTAACAATTTCATTGCCTGGTGTTTACATAGAGAGGTACAATTACATTGCCCCACTGTACATTGATGCGGCCACTACCAAAATATTTGGCTAGAAGGAAACCCAAAATGTTGTACGCATATGGTCAGTGCTGAGTAAGACAAAGCACATAGGCATGGTTTTTCAAACTGAACACATATATGTACACTGGTCTACAACTTTATTTGTGTACTACATGAGACTATACAACCAAATATTAGCAGCACCAAATGTGGGGTCATTGATGACATGTAGCCATGAAGGCCATTTTAGGTACTAAGTAATTATAGAATGGCCCTGCATTTAGCAGCTAAGATAGATGGTGGAGAACTTCTTTGTACACAATGTTTCTTGTCTCATTGGAGGGATTGCCATCATCATCTTCTATGTAGATTTTGAGACCTTGTTTTGTTGTTACTCGCGAAACAACTACATAGAGTTGACCATGTGTGAAGACTGGTTTTTGGAGGTAGATGCCAATAGTTAATAATGTTTGTCCCTGACTTTTATTGATTGTCATGGCATAGCAAACTCTTATAGGATATTGGCGTCGTTGTAGAACAAATGGCCACTTGTTTCTTTTGAGAGACAGAGTTATGCGTGGAATTGTAAATGTTTGATTTGCATGGCGCCCATTCATATTTTTTGCCTCAATTGTCCATTCTCCTATAGAGGTTACAGTCAGCCTTGTACCATTGCAAAGGCCTGCTCTTTGATTGAGATTACGCAACAGCATTATAGGAACTCCTCGTTTGAGCACAATTCGATGCTGCGGGAAGTTATTACCACTAATTGAGTTAAGGAAATCAATAGGATATAGAAGATCATATGCCTCATGTTGAGCAGTGGCCTTGGCGATAGTATCCGAACTGAGATATTCCTTTTCTCTGCCATGAACTAAGGGAACCATGTACTCATTTATTGTATCTGTGAGTTCATTTGTTGGAGCTAGTATGGCCCTTTGAGAAAGGTACAGAGGGTCTCTGTACCTGGTTTCAAAGTTAGGATATACCGATTGCACAATGGCTGCAAGTTTATCCTCACCAGGCACTATGAGCAATTCTTCAGGTATTGTAATCCAGCTCGGTTCATCTTTTCCATCCTTTGCAAAGGAGGGTGCCTTACCTTCGCCAATATCTAATATCCATCTGCTGAACACGGTGACCTCCTGTTGTTGGCAAGCATCATTCGGCGAACATACTAATCGCATGTTCTGATTTAAGCTGAGCACCTCTACATGAGCCCACAAGCGTGAGGTGATTATAGCAGCACTGATGACGTCTTGTTTGGTACCTCCTTCAACCACAGGTAAGATCTGCCTGAGGTCCCCTCCCAGCACGATAACCTTACCACCAAATGGAATATCTGCAGCCTCAGGGTTTTTTACTTTTTCTATGCCACGGAATGTGCGGTCTAATGCTTCAAAACATTTTCTATTAGCCATAAGGGCTTCGTCCCAAATAATATGGCTTGTAAGTTCAATAAGCTCTGAAAGCATGGTGCCCCTGCTAACATCACAGATCATATCATCCTCTACTTCGTAAGGTATTTTGAATCTTGAATGAGCAGTCCGTCCCCCTGGTAAGAGTAGCGCTGCTACCCCGGAAGATGCCATAGTAAGAACAATTTTGTTGTGTCCTCTGAGATAGCCTACTATTTGATTCCATAAATATGTTTTACCAGTTCCCCCATATCCTGATACAAAAAAAGCCGGGCTCGTTCTGTTGCACTCTGTGGACTATTTTATAGAAGGCGTTTCTTTGATCTTCATTAAGGAAAGCAGTTGGATTGTTCATGTCAATCAATGGATCAGTAGGATATGATAGCTCTTCTTCGATAAGCCAATTGTGTTGAATAGGATATTCAGCATGTGTCTTTGGAGGTAAGTTGAAATCAGCTATGTTCCTACCACTATGAGAAAAAAGAGTGGAAAGTTCATCCAGAAGGTAATCCCTAGCTACTGAATCAAGCAACACATAATTAGGATCACCAATCATATCTCTGTACTGGTAGATGATATCGTCGGCTAGATGGCGCCAAATTTTCTCGAAGAAAGTGTTTTCATCACCAACTTCGCAGAACAGTATCATTGTTACAAATAAGCTACGAAGCTGCGGTGAAGTAGCCCAAGCTGCTGCCTCATCGAAAGCGTTGTACCACTCCTGATCATCACCAAGAAGGCCGTGGGACTTGCATGCCTCTTTGAATGTACAATGATATGTTCGGTTGTGGAATTTGAGATGTTCATAGCTTGTTGCACCCTTAACTGTTAGCAGCAACATGCGAAGGTAGTACCGATCCCCAGCTGATGGGTGTACATAGTGAAGACGGCCTATCTTACCATGCTGCTGTTTCCGCTTTGTCCACCTTCTATCTCTTTGATCCCATATCCATTTCGAAGGAAACTCAGGATAGGTCAATGCTCTAGCTTCAGGAAAAAGCTCGTTGCAGACAAACCACTGAGTTAACATCGTTCTTTTCAAAAACTCGGTAGATACTAACTTATCCATCTTTGCTCTAGCACTAAAAGTTATGAAATTCTCGTTTGGAAGATGCATAGGCATTCTTTCTACTGCTGGATAGTGTCTATGAATATCATATCCAAACATTCTCCAACATGCATCTTGCTCACAGATATATCTACAATCAAGATATTCTTTTACCTCATTTATAGTCTGTGTTTCATCATCATACGGCGCCTGCTGGCCTCTCTTAACTCTCTGTAGATAAGCCTTGCTACAATCTGCTCCTTTAGTTACATACTTGAAGAGGTACTTGATGAATGTAGTTTTATTGCACCACTCAACATTGATGTGTGCCTGATATTTTGTAAGGAGGAACATGTTATATGGAACAACCCATCTGTTATCCATTTGGAGGCTTCCTTTGCAAACAAAGAGATTGTTCTCTGGTCACCTGTACACAGCAAAGCTAATAGAATTAACTGTAGTTTCAGGCTGGTATGGTTTGGGAAAATGCTTGGAACACTTATTGTTCTTCATGCATGGACACATAGGATTGTTTTTACCGTAGGGTCCATGTATCATGTGCTCTGCAACAAGAGCATAGCCTAGCGGATCATTTCTTGGATCAGGCACTTCTGCAGACACATATTTGTCTATCATTGTAGAAGTTGGATCAGATGTATCTCTTGAAGTCTAAAGGATTATGTGTGCATGTGGAAGTCCGCGTTTCTAGAACTCTATAGTGTGGAGCACTGCATTTTAATAGGAAATATTTAGGATCTGGAAGAGATAGTAGACAAATGGACATAGATAGAAAGGATGGTTTTGATGTATGTAGATGAATATACCTGCGTTGCAAGGTCCAAAGGGTGTACCACATCTAATATCATGCAGAAGTTCTTCTAACTTGATGTTGAACACTCTGACAATTATATCATTCCTATCACTTGGCCTCTGTCTAGGCTCAAAGATAGCCTCAGAAATCTCTAACCATTTAGGATTACATGTAAATGTAACGAATAAATCAGGGGGGCCGTATTCTCGGCAGATAGCTATACCATCATGATAATTTTGTATCATATAACGTCTACCGCCTGTATATGATGCCGGTAACACAGTCATTTTCCCAACCTCACTTCCTTCTTGGGAACCTCTGCTAATAGCATCACAGATTCCTTGAATACTTTCCATCCTGATATAAGCCTGATGATCCACTATATATTTCAGTCTGTTTTCATCGACGCAGGCCCGGGCATCAACCTTGGCCTGACTTGACAATGGCCCATAACATAAATAAGGATTGGGCTCATTTTTTCGATAGTGGAACATGTAGCAGTAGTAATCTTGCATGGTTAGCTTTACATGAGCATTCTGTGCTGACTGAGTGGCATCAGTGTATAAAATACCAGCCTGCCAACCACGTTCAGCATACGGAAATAGCAGAGGATACTGAAGCGCCATGAAAGCAGGATGCAAAGCAGAGATTTGATCTAGATCTCCTGTCTGTTTCTACACAATAATGTCCCGCTCAAATTCTTCACAGCTAAAATCACCAACCACAAGCATGGCCAATTGATCTGTAGTTGGTAAACTGTACTGAGGCGGATCTCCATCTTTTGGACCAACAATGCGAATGACAAAATCTTCAGCCTCATTGTCTGCTAATCTGTCCCTGGCCATTCTAAACTGCTTTGCAAACAAATTATGTTCATCCAACATATTAACCAAAGATTGTACAATAGTAGGATCTAGATCTGATGCTGTTGTGTCTTCATGGTCTAATGAGGCAATTCTGTTCTCAACCTCGGCTGATGTATCATACACATATAGCTGAATAAATTTTGGAGGGCGACCATCTGGAGGTATCAAAGAGCCGATGCGGTGATGAATCTGTCCACAAATTTTAAAAACCGGAGGACCCTTGCCATCATTCATGGTTCGATCTATATTGGCTCCCATAGAGGTGAATGCAAAAAGACAATTGTAGCGTCTTATATTCTTCATAAACTTGTTAGAGACCGATCCTCCATCAAATCTTGCCAAAGACGCTAAGGGTTCAGGCCTAGGAAGGAAGGGAGGAATAACAACTCTGCCTCCTTTACAACACTTGTTGTAAATAAGTGATCCAGAAGAGGTGCGTGCTTCTTTGCCAACACTTTCAGCATTCCAGAAAATGGCGTGGCAGTTGGAACACTGCTGTGCAGGTGGTCCATGGTATGATCTCCCAGGATAAGAAACTGGTTTATGCACATGTAAGAGAGAGTTAAACATGGATGAGGTAGATACCCGTAGGTAGGCCTGGTGATGATGGAAAAGATAGATGCAACATACGAAGGTACGACCTTTACCTTTAAGAGCCTCTACGAAATCATCATCGAACTGAGCACACTCTAAGCTAGCACTATACGCTGAAGCTGCACCTATACATAGGGTATAGGATTGAACCATATTGTAGCCCAAAGGCATGAAAACATCATTTGCTATAGAATCTGCTGCAGTACCTCCCCAAACAAGACGATGCTGCTTTAGGAGCTTTCTCCTCTTCTGTCTACACTGCGCTGGATCATGACTTTGAATGCGACATGAGGAGTTATTTCCTGGTCGAAGGACAGAATAGATAAGAAGAAGATTCATGCAATATTCTTGCCTCATATGGGACTATACACAGTAGGCTACATACATGGTCTTGCACGGCGGGACCTCGCTGTGGCAGCAGCAGAGGTGCCTATATCCACCGAAGTATCCACTGAGTAATATAGGTAGGCACTGTTAGATATCATAATACAGCAAAATAGTGAGGCCACTGAATATAGCAGCGGTCACTGAAAACATAGATATGTAAGCAAAATAGAGCACAGTTTACATACGTGGTTGCTGAGCAGCCATACCAGATTGGTATTCCATAGACGACGAAGGCTGTGCATCTTACCATGGACATAAAACAATGAAACCATTTTTTGGGGAAAAAACATTTGGAAAAAATAGCATATGGTGTTTATGGACCGTTAACATACATTGGATAACCCAGAATAACAGCGTACAAACAATCTGATAATAGCAGAGAACTGCTATAACGCATTCTTTGATGCACCTTTTGTTTGTGCTGTACCTGATTCTATAACAGTCTAATGTACCGAATACGATACGTATGAGTCTGTTAACATGCACTGGATAATCTAGAAAAAACAGCACACAAACAAGCTGATAGTACCAGAGAGCTGGCGTAATGGATTCCGTGACGTGCATTTTGGCTCTGTTCTAGTTGGTTCTATAAGAGCGTAATGTAGCAAATATGATAGGCATGAGTAATGGAGAAGGCAAAACATTAATATATGAAACAGGCAAGTGCAGGCACAGGCACAAATCTAGATATATAGGCAGGGTGGATTCATGCAGTAAGAGCGGTAGAAGTACGATAAGAGCAAAAACGACTATATGAAGAGGAAATCTGAAATCGGAGTGTACAGTGCAGAAAGAACCAAAAACAATTACATGAAGATGAGAAGTAAAATATGGATGTATAAACAGACCGATGCTGAATGAGGTGTAACTGAAGTCACCTCATGTAACATTTTTATAATTAATGGTGCGATGCGTACAATGAAAGGAGGAAAAATACATAAAGCCGAAAAAGAAATTGTAACCCTACAAACATGCTGACACTCAATCGCGCGACAGCACGATGAGTTCATCTAACACCAGTTGCGCGAATGCTGTAACAGCCGACAACGGTCTAACATCGTCGCTGGGCGCTGCAACGACCAACCTAGCAAGCTGAGCTCCTCTATTTGCAATGCAGAATAGATGGCGAGCTAGATCCCTATATAATTGAAGCCCATGGACACTATAATCAAGAAGAACAAATCCATATATCCCCTGTAGAACTACAAGAGCCTGCAATGCTGTTACTTCGTAGGCCACGGCAGGATCCACAGCAGGTTCAGCCCAGAAAAAGAGTGTTGTTGAGGCTCCCTGGACCATACCGGGGGTCAATTCAACCTCTATACCGTATATATCTTTCCCATCCTGTACCACCTCATGTATATAGGATACATAAGGTAGGCAGCACCGGTGAGCAACCTCTTGCAACATAGCTACGTAGGACAAATTGATAAAAAACATATCTACCACGCCGAGCGAAAGTAGCAGTCCAAATCTGGGCACACTTTTTTGGTTGCCGCCTCTGTCTGCAAGGCACAAATATGTAGGGCCGTTTAAAACCAGAAGATAATTTTAAAATCAGTTTGCAAGACCCTTTTTTTTGCAAATAAAAGACAACAGCCGATCTTCGAACAGTTCCAACAACCATACGCGTCCTTTGAATGATTTTGCAAACGGCAAAGAAGAGCAAAGGAATATCAGTTTCATAACATAGCACAAACAATGAGAAAACAAAGCAACATATATACTGAACAAAGCATCTAGTACCTGGAAGCGAAGATAGTCCAATAAGATCGTATCTCAGTTAGGAAGATATCCAATTGAGCACCAGGAACGACAATCGCAGCAATGTTCGGCCAACGACACCTTTGAACAACAACGATGCGAACCTGCGTCAAACAGTTTTGAGACCAAGCCATCAGAACCAGGGAAAGCAACAGATCTATCTATAAGCAAACATAGCAGAACAGATATAAACAACCCGCATTAGGCTAGAGGGGATCGAGTGTGACAGAGGCGAGAACCTACGCACGAAATTAGGCAAGACCAGCGTAGCAGCCGAGGTAGGAGCAAACAGCGGCGTTGTCCCTGAGAGCGTCCACCTTTCCCCTTTCCCCCCTTTCCAACCCCTCGTCCCCCCTCCCCCCCCCGAATCCGCCACGAGCGGCGCACCCGGAGGAGGAACGCGAGCAGGAACCCCGGCGCAGACAGGAGGTGCGACGCGAAACCCTAGGAAGAACAAAGACGAAGAAGAAGACCTCCGCCGGCGCAGACAGGAGGCGTGACGCGAAACCCTAGGAAGAACAAAGACGAAGAAGAAGACCTCCGGCGACGACGGTGGCAACAGAGGAGCGGGCCGGCGAGGAAGAAGTAGGAGAAAAAGAGCGACGAAGGTCGTCGGGCTGACAAGGACGAGGAATGACCCTGCAGCTTGAGGACAGCAGAAAATTAAAGGGAAGAAACCCGATTGGGGAGAAACCGATGCACTTCACAATGGAGCCCGAGGACATCATAAGGTAATGGATTCTTACCAACCCGTGGTAAGAAGCTGGAAACAAAGAGGTAAAGTAAAAGCTAAAGCTGATTAACGAAATCATGACCCTACAGGCCGCGATCGCACGGTAGAAAACAATTTCACCGACGTGGATGGTGTTTCTGCCGGAGGAGCATGGCGGCCTTGTCTAGGTAAACTGAGCATTTTGGTAGCCGACGTGGATGTCAACTGCCACGTTTTTGCCACAAGCAGATATGGCCAAGTACCATACCTGCAATATTTTGCTCTTGAGCAAAGACAGGCCCTACAGGTTTGAATGTCTGATCACGTTTGGCGTACATTGGTTTTGTGCTGTCATGAGGACCCTGATTCTTTGTATATGGAACTAGCAAAATATGCCCTTACGTTGCTACAGTTGAATACCAAATTATACGTCGATATGTATATTTTATCACTTTTTTTCAATTAAAGGTGTAAAAAGATTCGATATGTATATTTATGCCACTTTTTTTTTCAATTGTGCGTTGCTAGGTTGTTTTGGATGAACAATATCGTGCTATGACGATCACATCATAGATTAGTACAATTCATATATGTATCTTAACTACTACTATCGGTTAAGTGAAATTAATTTAAACTTGTCTCCTATCAGCTATTAATTTAAACTAACTATAGTTTTTGAAGCCACTTTTTATTGTAAAGATCAGTTTTTGTATGTGTGAGATCACTTCATAAAAAAAAGCACCAGATGCATAAAACTCACCGCACAGAGTCTTTTGTCCATCCACTTTCATGGTGACTCTTATCCACACGTGACACACCTCTAGGCTCGAGCTGTCCAGCCTCACGCGTCTGTGCAGGGGCATGTTCAACCCACATACAGTGAGTTGTCTGTAAGTTCTTGGAATATGAACACAGACAGTAAAACAGATAGCTCGTATAATGGATTGTCTATTTGACAGTCTCCATGTTACTTAATGCATGCACACGACTATGATCAGGGATGAAGATCTTTGTACATTATTTTGTCGCTTCTTGATTCTTGATACAAAAGAGATCACATATAAATAAGATGAAAATAATTACAATATTTCTTAAGAGTCATGAATATAATAAAATACATATATATATATATATATATATATCCTAGCTGCATAGATATATTATAATTTAATAACTCACACAAAAATATAGACCACTATAAAATTTGCAAGGCCTCTACTCTCACCAAAGTACAAGTTCTATCACTAAAGAAATATTAAAAATAGTGGGAAGATAAAAGTAGATGAATAAACCAGACACCCCGCAAAAAAATCGTTCCTTATCTCTTCTGGTCATGTGGAAAGACGCCAACGATCATAGTTCCTGTCAGACACGACAAGATGGGCGAGGGTTCTTGCTATTCTGAGGAGGCAGATTTTGACGCAGATTAATCATGCGATAGGGGACGATTTGACAGAGATTAAAAGGTGGAGCGGCGGATGGCGTTTGAATCCCCTCGTCAAGGCATCTTGGTCCGCTCATTGAACCGATTTAATTTCAGCATTGATGTCCATATCGATGTAGAGTTGGAATTGAAATTGGCCGGAATTTGATTTCAGCATTGATATCCATATCCATTGATTCTCTGATAGCCGGACACGTATTACTCCAATTATTTCCTCTGGACTCTGGTCATCACGCTGTGTGCACGTCTCTTCTTTTCCTTCAATCTTTAGCTTTTCTTGCTTCTTTCCTATTTACGCGTTGCACACCTGGGCTTTATGTGGTTCCTAGTAATATCTCCTAATCGGCAACGGAGACCGATTTTCTCCTAATCAGCAATGGAGAGCGATTTGGCTTAGCTCGTGTAGCAGTTGGACTCAACAATCCTTTTCCTGTTTGCTTGAGCACCTGCCTAAAATACTACGCATGGATCCTTAATAGTTTAGAAAAAATACCACGCAAGCATGCGAAAACAATGCTGCACGGTACATCCGAGTGGACATGCATAGGGAGAGAAATTTTATATATGTATATTCTTTTTTATGTGGAACAGGATTAGGAATAGGATTCTTATTTAGTTTACCTAGAATAGGAGTGATCTATTCGGATTAGGATTCCTAACTATTCACCTATTCCTATTCATTTTATTCAGGTTTGGAGAGATCTATTTGTCCTAACGGATCATATAAGTCTAGATGGAAGAAACTCTCGACTACCGGTAGTTAGGAGGAGGTGGACAAAAAAAAAAGATGGATAAAACAAAATGATCAGAAATTTTGTCTCTTTATTATTAGGTATAGGTATAGGTATATATAGATTATGAATTGAATCGAAGTACTACTTAAATGATGGTTACAGAAAAACTATTCAATAATGGGTGCCGTATGCCCGTATCCTTAAAAACGCAACGTTGTACGTCCACAATCATGGTCCAAAAAGAATCTAATTCTAGATTTGAACTAAAATCTAACTAAATTAATAGAAAAAATAATGTCAATATTTATGCCTCCAAATAGGTTCACTATTTTTTTTGATTTAACAAATAGATTTACTTTGAAAATCTTATTCTACAATAATCTAATAATACTTATACTTATTCGGTATTATAATGTTAGTATTTTTTATATATTAATTAAAGTTAACCTTAAAATTGTTTAACTCCTTATTAATGCAAGGTTTTTTCTTTTGAACAGATTGAGTATTTAAAGAAGTTAGTTACCACATCTTTCCTTGTTTGATTGAAGACGTTAGTTACCACATCTTCACACTTGTTTGGCGTCACTTCCCTTCTCTTCCCTGCTGCTGTCTGTCCGGACTCCGGAGGGGAAGCCACCAAAGCCATGGCGGCGGGCGGGGACGGCGTGGCTCACCAGGCGGAGCTCCGCCGGATCGAGGGCAACGTCTGCTTCAAGAAGGCCCGCCTCGGCGCCGCCATCGACTGCTACACCGAGGCAAGACACCTCCCGGTGGCCGGTGCCCTCTTCCCTGACTTCCCCAAAATTCCCCCGTGCCCTCCCACTCTCGCGAGTTGGCTGTGGCCTGAGCTCAGAGATTCCTTCCTATTTCAGAATGCGCTCCGTCGTCCTCCTGTCCTTTGATCCCCTGCAGGTCTTCTTATTCTCTTTAGTTCCGTGCCGTGTGTTACACGAACCCTGTTTCTGTGGTTCGGGGAGCGATTCCGAAAGATTTTTCTTCTTCTCATTGGTTGGTTGTTTCTTGATGAAACTTGACTGCCTAATCTGTGTTTCGTCGCCAGGCAATTGCGCTCTGCCCCGACGTCGCCGTCTACTGGATGAATCGGGCCCTATGCCATTTCAAGCTCAAGTGAGTGAGTTTACTGTTTGCTAGTAATTGCTACCTCCTCCCCCTCCCTTTTTTTTGGCAAGACAGAAACGAATATCTGAAATCTTGTGCACAGGGAGTGGGCCAAGGTCGAAGAGGACATCAGGAAGGCTCTCGCGCTTGATCACACTTTAGTCAAGGTCACATTCTTATTTCTTCTTTCCTCTCAAAACTAATGTGCCAACTTCAACTAACCACTATATGTAATCACTGTCCTTAACTAACCGTTCGATGATAAATAAAGACACAAAAGTCACTAGTGAGGCCACGCGATTGCTCTGTTCCTTGTGTGATGTAGGGGCACTATCTGCTGGGGTGTGCACTGCTCGAGAAGGAAGAGTCTGCTCTTGCTATCAAGGAATTCGAAAAGGTTCCTCATTTGTCCCTTGTACGCATTATGTGAATTCTCAAGGAGTTTCCTTGTGTAGGAGTAATTAGATTCACCGCATATGGAGCCATTTTTGCCTGTCTTGTCATGATTACATCTTGCCCCTGAAACACCAACTAGATGCACTAACTTCCATATTTAATTTAAGATGCACTAACTTCCATTTATGATAAATAAAACATCCCAATATGTACTACCATAGCAGATGTGAAATGGCGCTGACCTCTGAGGAACAATTACCATAATAGTTAACTTGAAAGTTTTTTTTTTGTTTTTTTTTTTTGGTTTTGTGAATTGCTTGCCTTCCATTACCATCAACCGGCCGAGGCCTCAAAGAGTATCAGGTCGAGCACACACGCCGGAGTTACATGCCACATCTCCGTGCGATGAGTGCTCGATACTTGTTTAGCTAAAACATGTGCTACTTTATTATAAGATCTACTAATAATATAAGAAAAAGAGAAATCTTGAAAGGCAAGCCTGAGGTCATCAATCTCCTTTAAAACTGGATCAACAATGGATCGCTGGTCGTCCTTCTTCTTCCACAGGTTGACAAGCTCCAAACAATCGGTTTCCAGCCATACATGCTGTATACCCTGTTGCTTCACCAACACTAACCCGTCTCGGCACGCTAATGCTTCCATTAGACAAGCATCAAAACCACGATCATACCAGCGCGTCTGTGCAGCTCTGAAATACCCCCTGTGATCCCGAATTATGCTGGCCGTCGCCCCACTGTGCTTGTTCAAACATGTGGTTGTTTCATGCATCTAAGTTGTACTTACCTTGTTAGTTGTTAATCTAAAGTTGTTTTCTTCACCTTGTAATGCAATTCCGACATATCTATACCTGTTTCCATTTACTCAAACCTTTCAATACCAGTGGTCGATAGTACTCAACTATAATTTATAATCGCATAATATTATCTTGATATTCTGTTTCCTCTGTTCTGTGGTGGATGTATTGTTCCTTGTCGGTACTTTACTTTTGAGAAGTAGAAGCACAGTGATGTAATAAATGTGTAAAAATTAGTATATTCCTGGGCGCCTCTCCCTGCCAACTGTGAAGTGCCACTGAGTTAAGAGTTGTAATAACAACCTACTCCGTATATACTACTAGTAACTAGTGACATGCTAAGGCTATGGGGATGCCTGGTTCCTTTGCTAAGGACTGGGTCACTACACACTACAACTATGTATTGACATCCTTGTTTAGTACCTTGTTTTGACTCCGGCTACTGATGTCTTGTCCTGTCACATTATTTCTAAGCTCTTGCTCGTCTTATCATGGGAAACAGGCTCTGATTCTCTTGAAGTCCGCGAATTCAACAGATGAAATGGCCGAGGAAATTTGGCAGGTCCTTGCGAAGGCAAAATACTTAGATTGGGAGAAGCATTCCACCGAACGGCTATGGAGGATGCAAAGTCTGAAGTATGTTAGATATTAAACCTAAAACAACATAGCGCTATCATTTTGCTTTAGATCAAGCACTTCTTATCTTGATATGGCTGATCAGTTGAAGTTTCTGGCTGTTAAAGTCTGTTAACAGAAGCGTATCCCGTGGACATGCAGGGAAGCTTGTGAAAGTGCTCTGCAGGAGCATCATTTTCTTACTGGTACACTTGAGGAAGACTCCAATGGGTCAAGCAATGAGTATTCAGAGCAAATCAAACTGCTATCAGAGGTCTTCAGCCAAGCGACAATTGCCGATACACCAGTGGATGTATGAGCAATGCTCAGAATAAACTTTTGTTTTTGTTAACCCTTCGGTTTCTATAACTGTGATCTGAAACTGCTGCTGCCATGCTGAATCCCTAGGTGCCTGATTACCTTTGCTGTCAGATAACTTTCGAGATTTTTCGAGATCCAGTGATCACACCAAGTGGTCTAACATATGAGAGGGCTACACTTGTTGAACATCTCCACAAGGTGTGCCCTTTCGCTAACTTGTGAACTTATTTACTTTTTGTATGTACACAATTACAGATGTGGTTACCATTAGCCTAATCTAACCTAACCATTGCCTTGCTGTTTCAGGTTGGCAATTTCGACCCCGTGACGCGAGAGCCTTTGAAAGAGCATCAGCTGGTTCCGAATCTAGCCATCAAGGAAGCAGTGCAGGCCTACCTGAAGGAGCACAGCTGGGCTTACAAGCTGAACTGATGGATGTCGAGTGCTTTGCTGACTGCAGATGCTGATGAATGGGGGTTGCCTTTATTAGAGTTTGATTTTCTGATGCGTTGGGATCATGAGATTGATTAGATAGCTCGATTCATCATTCTTAGTATTGATTGGGCAACTTGACTTATAACTGCAAACACTGATTGGATGGATGTAATGGAGCAAGTGTACATAAAACATTGGAGGTTAGAATGGAGATTTGCATAAGTTGTTGACTTACCAACTGCTCGGTTGGTTTAGTTCACTGCGTGTGTGATTGCAGCAATGTATATATATATGGTGCACTAGAAATTTGCTTCTGGTTGTTAATGAAAGATAGGCTCAGCACTAGAAATTTGCTGAGAAGGAAACATATGCATCTGGATGACTTTAATTGTGCCGTTTGCAGCCTAACATCAGAAGAAACTCGGTTGCATCTCTTTCTTGATTTTCAGTTTGCAGTGGAGTGTTGGAGTACTCTAGGCCTTGTCATTCATAACTCTGCTGATCCTTTTGATACAATCACTTCATTCAGAGTTCAGCTTGGTGTTCCTTTCTCCATGGAGATAACTATTTCAATGAGTTGGGCTATCTGGTCAGTTAGGAATGATGCAATTTTCAGGAATGTGCAGCCACAAATCAGTAATGCCGAGTGTCATTTCAGGAGAGATTTTGCTCGGGTTATTCTTAGAGCAAAGAAAGCTTATGTACCCTCAATTAGTCAATGGCTAGAAGCATGTGTAATAGCTTTAATTTTCTTTCTTACTTTCTTTGTATCATAAACTTTGTTGTAAACACTTGTTCAAATATAATAAAAGCACAGTAGGGGCTTGCACCCTCCTGTTTTCCTCAAAAAATCATCTTGACACCACCAGACCTGATCACAGTTCCCTTCACAGTGAAACTCAGCTTTTAAGAAAGCATCAAGGTACATGAAACGCTGGGGATACCAGCAGCAATACAACTCCACCCAACGAACCCAACTAAAGTTCAGACATAACAGAATTCATAAAAGACACAGAACATCTGCAACTAAGCAAGCTAAATTTCAATAACATCCGTAGCCATCGAAGTTCAGCTACACACTTGGGGTAGTCAATCCATCAAGGTACATGAAACGCTGGGGATACCAGCAGCAATACAACTACACCCAACGAACCCAACTAAAGTTCAGACATAACAGATTCAGAAAAGACAGAACATCTGCAACTAAGCAAGCTAAATTTCAATAACATCCGTAGCCATTGAAGTTCAGCTACACACACTAGGGGTAGTCAATCCATTCCATGTAGGGGTAAATGCTATCCAGAAGGATGCCGCACATACCCAAGGAATCTTCTGTATCGCGGTTGATGTTGCGTTGCATCCGCATGTAGCCGTTCTCGCCCCAACCTTCTCCATAGCTGTTCTTGACGATCCAGTAATCGTAATCCCAGTCGTCGGTGGTGCCGTACCCAACGAGAAGCATCTCGTGGTTCAGCGAGTGACCACACGGTCCTCGGTACACGCCGCCGGCGTAGTTCTTGAAGGAATCGTCGGAGCCGTCCACGGCAACCACCACAGGAACGAACTTCACTGCAAACATCAGATCGAACTCCAAGAACGCCGCGACCCGGTTGAACCCGGCCATGGCCACGAGGGGGGAGTTGGCGGCGGCCTGGCATGTGTCGCGCCATCCCCTGTACGGGTAGGCGGCTTCGGACGCGAGGCCGCCGTTGCTGATGATGTAATTGAACGCCTTGAAAGCGAAGCCGCCTCTGCAGCCAGCGTTGCCGGTGTCGCAGTCCACCAGCTGCTGCGCCGACAGGTCCACCAGACTGTCGTTGCGCTGTATGGCGTGCACGCTCTCTAGCGCCGCGGCTGCTGCCATGGCCCAGCAGCATCCGCAGTAAGCCTGGTCCTTCACCTTGGTCACGCACGGGTGGCCATTGCAGTCGGCTGTGCGCCAGTCGATGCTATCCAGCAGTGCCGCCTTTTCTTCCGCCGCTGGCAACAGTGATATATATTATTAGATTCACTAGGAAAAGTTTGTTATTTTTTTAACCTGGTTGGTTTTCTTTGAAAGAACTGGCATCTTTCCATTTCCACAGAAACTATTGTTCGAATCTTCACCTTGTAGACTGTTGATTTCCTAAACGGCATGTATTTTGAACCGGGGGATAGTGTGTCCTGCCTGTGTTTCATTGTAAAACTGTTGTATGATTTGTTAGTTAGTTATTCGGTGTCTATGGTTTAAGTTCAGGTTCAGGTTTTTGACCATGATGATCATCACTATCTGAGAGTGAGAGGCATGCAGAGTAGCCTCTGTTTGGTTGCTGCCTTGCCAATGAGCATGGTGGATCGAGAAAGTGGAGTGCAGGAACGAACGCGGCTGATGACCAGCTCAACTGGCCAGGAACAGAGGAGGAGGGTAGCTAGCTATTTCCAACTCTTTAACTCTCAAGAGGAGTCGACGCATCATCATGCTGAAACGGGAACGTTTGAACGATATATACAGTAGCCTATGTTTTGACTGCCTTGGCCAATGAGCATGGCGGATCATCGAGAAAAAGAAGGAACGTGGCTGATCTGCTCGACTGGCCAAGAACAGGAGGGTAGGGGTAGCTAGCTATTTCCAACTCTTCAACTCCCAAGAGGAGCCGACGCATCACGCTGAAACGGGAACGTCGCGTGAACGGTCACCGGCCACCGGCCACGCGACCCAGAATCACCACAACAGCATGGTATAGAGGCGAAGCAAAGAAATAATGCACCACCTTAACAGGCAGGCAGGCAGGCAGGCTCAAATGTCAAGCAACACAAATCCCAACAGTGGCCTCCCTCCCTCTGTTGCCGCACCCCAGCAGCATCACAACGACGTTTGTCTGCAGTTCTTACCGAAAACAAGAAATACCAAGATTGACACCTTCAGTTGGCGACCATGCAACTGACTCGTTCAACTTAACAGCGTCCTAAACAGCTTCAACTTCAACAAACTCCACAAAAGCAAACCGGCTGGCAAGACAGACATTTTTGTCAGTCAGGATTGGCACTCTGTTAACAGTTCCGCAAGAATTCAAGTGCTGCTGAACTTCATCTGGAGTGCACTGCAGGCATAGTCAAGCTGCAGTTGCGATTACACCAGAAGCAAACCGGCTGGCAAGACAGACATTTTTTTAGACCAAAGGCACTTTGGCCCTGCTTATATTAAAAGCAAAGGTAGTGCTGGGGATACCAGCTTACAATAAAAGTTCGAAACAACAGAGTTCCAAAGATCAACCTCTCCAACTCTCAAACAACAAAATACCAGATAAGGGAGCCTGTCACGCTCGCCAAGTTTGAAGCATCGTCTTCAGTAGCTCTTGATCACCGCGCTCGAAGACCCTCCTGGAGCTTCAGCAGCGCGTCCTCCAACACCTTCTGGTCCTTCGTCTTGAGCATCTTCTTCCACTGTTTCATCAGAGCCAACACTTTATAAGCAACGGACTTGGGAGATTTGATTAGCTTGTTATTGAACACCCAATCGTTTCTGGTTTTCCAGATACTCCAAGCAACACTAGCTAGAACGAAGATGTTAAAACTCTTATGTCTCTCAAGCTCTCCCGAGTTAAGCATATCTTGGAAGGTAGTCAACGAAATAGGTCTCTGTCCCCATCTTAGGCTAACCCAAACCCAGACCCATATAAGTTGAGAGATATGACAATTAAAGAACAAATGGTCTCTAGTCTCCAACCGTCCACAGTACTTGCAGAATTCTGAGTGTTTGCTTTTCCTGATCTTCAACTGTTCTCCTGTTTGGACCCTGTCATGCCACAACATCCATAAGAAAACTTTGATTTTCAACGGCATTTTCACTTCCCACATATCCCTCATTCTTGTGTCCACCTCACCAGGGTTAACCATCAGTCTGTACAAGGATTTGCTTGAGAATTTTCCTGAAGGTTCTAATGCCCACACTAATTTATCATCGTCTTCTGTGATCTGTACCACCTCTAGCACGTCTTGCATCTCACTCAGTTCTGCTAATTCCTCAGGGCCCAGATTTCTCCTGAGATCCAATTCCCAGTCCACCTCAAACATCTCTGCCACAGACATGCCTGTTGATCCTGTAAAGCTTAGGGAACCTGATCTTCAGAGGACAACTATCCACCCAAACATAATGCCAAAATCTCTCTCTGGAGCCATTTCCCACTGACCATTTGGTTTCTCTTTCATACCACTCCTTAGCATTCATAAGCCCTTGCCAAAACTGAGAACCACCTCTAACCTTACTCTGACATACACTCTGCCCTTGAAGGTACTTGTTCCTCAGAACTTGCATGGCAAGATTATCATCACCTCTATCCAATTTATAACACCATTTGGCCAGGAGGACAATATTCATAGATCTTGTGTCAACAAAGCCAAGGCCTCCAAAATCCTTGGGAGTGGCCAAAGCCTCCCATTTCACCATGTGATATTTTTTCCTATTACCAGCCCCCTCCCAACAGAACCTACCTCTAGCAGAGTCAAACCTCTTCTGTGTGCCCTCATGTAACCAGTAGAAGCCCATAGTATACATAGGGATACTAGTGAGGCTGGAGTTGATCAGGATGGACCTACCTCCATGAGACAGTAAAACTTTGAATCTAACTTTGAATCCAACTTTTGCAGACAATTAATGCATGTCTCCGCACACATAGAAAATAGTACAGGAGTCACGAGTCAGTCCGTGGCCTACCCCAACTTGCTTGGGACTGAAAGGCTACGTTGTCGTTGTTGTTGTTGTTGAGTCACGAGTCAGTCCGTTGTTCCAAATATCATATGAGAGTTGCACCAGAACTAACTAAAATTTCTCAAGATATTACTTCGGTACTTAAATACCATTTCTAAAGTTCTCCATTGGTGTGTAGTTTAGTGACAAAAAAAAAATTGATGTTCAAGCTTAGTTTGATTATGCCTACTTAAGTACCTAAAGTGCTTAAATGATGCTCTAAGGTGGGTACAAAAGTTAGTTAACAAAATGAATCCACCGCAATGTAAACACAATGCAAAGCAAATTCGCAGATATCAATATTACTGATCAAATTTAAGGGCATCATGTCACAGTCAATGCAACTATTTTAACTAAGGTGGAGACCATCTACTTTGTATCTTCTAGAATACAGTATATAGTTGAACTAAATGAATGAACGCGATTTGCTAGAACATAGATCATCTACTTTGTATCTTCTAGCATACAGTATATAGTTGAACTAAATGAATGAACGCGATTTGCTAGAACATAGATCATCTACTTTGTATCTTCTAGCATACAGTATATAGTTGAACTAAATGAATGAACGCGATTTGCCAGAAACATACGTATGATGTTTCACCTGGAAAAAGAAACGTGTATTTACGCGATACCAGGTGATTCACCAATAACATATATGATATGATGAAGGCCATGAGAATGATAAGCCTAGATTGTACATGCACAAAACAAACTGAACTACAAACCCCCTGTTACATATATCCACACGCCGATAAACATTTTACATAACGACTACAAAGACAAAACAGTCTATTACTAGCACCAGTCTCTAGTAGTACATATATATCGATATGAATGTCTTGTTTATCTTCTCTAATGCATGATGGTTTTTATGACGTCAACAGAAGTTCCAATTGGTCAAATTATGAAACCTTCAACCACAAATCAAGATAAGTTTTCAATTTTCATCAGGGCTGCATGTCATATGAACTTGGTTGGGGTAGATGGGATAATAGGAAGAACAAGGGCAAGATAAACCAATTTGCCCCTCCCTTGGAGGCCCTGAACTATTTAGGGTTCATATTCTTGTTTGCCTAACCTATAACTCATTGGCTGCCTTTATAGACCAGGAGTATACTAACAAAATTTTATTCAAATAACTGATCAATCCTATCTGCTAGCAAACCCGAACAAACTAACAAACCTTATCCCTAAGTAGCTGCTGCCGAACTGGTGGCTGGGCCGACGCACTTGCCATGACAGCATGACATACATAGATCTATCATGAAGCAACAGGACTTTAGCTCATTGATATGATTTGGCACTCTGCTATGTTTACTTTTTTATACTATGACATGCAGTCATATAGACATGCCAAGACAACAGGGTATATTTGGATTGTAGAACAGTGTTGGCAGACTAATAGATAGACTTTTGACTTTTTTTATCCAAATGGACAGAGAGGTACCCAAAAAGATCCAGAGTGAAAGAGGAGAAAACAACGGTATAAAATTGCAAAAGAAACATCAAGAGTAAGATCCCCACAAGCAAAACAACATAAGCACAATTGTTACAGTACACTCAGCATAAATGTTAGGACAGGCTTACAAGTCATGCCTATGAACTGTGCCAGTAAATCGCTAATGATATCAGCATATCACGCCTCACCAGTACCAGGATGTGCCTGACGCATTCTCTGCTGGCTACCTTGGGAGATAACTCTCTCTCTCTCCCCCTCCCTCCTTTTTTCTATACTTTTTTTTTTACTTTTTTCAAATATTTTTTTCTATTTCTTTTTTTTCAAGAACTTCTTTCTGGGATTTTTCCTCCCTTTTTTCATCCCCACATAGCTAACACTAGAAATTGTGCTGAGATTCAAGCAAATGCCAAAACTTTGATAGAAAGGCTTGATGACAGCCGACTAATCTGCGACCAGTGCCATTGCTCATTCAATGGAAAAGAGGAAAAAACAGGAAAATAAGTAAAGATATGAGATACAGCTTATGTTTTGTATCATTAGTTGACATTGGCAATAAGACCATCAGTCCTGTTGTTCAACGAAATGGAACTTTGCAGCAGGAACTAAAAATAATACAATCCTCACATTGAAATAATATTTTTAATGGAGCCCAACCAAAGAGACATACTATCTACTGAAAGTGAAAAAAAAAACATCACAAAAGTAATACAAATCATTATAAAAACCCCAAATATTATCTGTAAACAGTCAGTAAATGAATATCAATTTCATATCTTTAGTTCGAAAAGCATATTCTGGTAACAAGGACCAAAACAGATTAATCATCAGATATATACATAGCCATAAGGTATAAAATAGTATTGAACTGTGCACAGTCCTCTTAATATATATAAAGTGGAGAGATAAAGCTTACATTTCCAACGAACACTGATTGAGCATCCATACTGCACTTTTCATTTCATCTTCTGGAAATGCATACATTCTCATCTCAAATTTACCATATTACCATAGTTGTTAAGGCGTCGCTATACCGACGCCATATCGTCGCCATATCGCCGTGGCGTTTTTCTGGCTCTCGCCACGGCGACGCCATGGCTCCGGCGTGTATGGCGTCCGCCATAGCGCCGTGGCGTCCCCGTGGCGCCGATTTGGCGTCCTGTGGCACCTTTGTGCGCTGTGGCGGGCGCAATAGACGGTGAGGGTGAGGGTGAGGCCGTGAGGGTACCTGTATAGGCCGAGTGGCCGATTGGAGCCCTCCGAGACCGAGCCTGAGACGCTGCTCGCCGGGCTCTGGCCAAAGGGCCCAGCAGCAGCTCGGGCCGCTTCGGCGGCGCCGCTCACTCATTGGGAGCGCGCCACCAGCGAGGGGGCCAGCGATGGCGCCGAGTCGTCTGCTCGCTCACGCTCGCTCTCACTCGGGCTCCGCGCGACTGAGAGAGAGAAGGGGAGGAGTAGAATGGGAATTAGGGTTTCGGCTAACGCGGCCGGGCGAGCCTTTTTGTTCGGGCGAGATGGCCGGGCGACCGTCGGATGCGATCCGACGGCGGAGAGCGGCCGGGCCGTTTTGCGGCCCAGGCGGGCACGCGCGGCCGCGGCACTTTGCCGGCCCAGGCCCACGTTGCGGCCTGGGTGTGGCGGGGCGCCACGCAGAGGTGTGGGCCGAGCCGAATTGCCGGTTTTGGGCCCAGTAACAGTAAAGAATGAGCCCGGTTTGAGAGATGAGAGAGTTCTATGTCTTTTGTGCTACATTTACATTGCTATTTTGATTTGCTAATATTGTAGACTATACCTTTTAAGCTACATTTGCATTACCATTTGTCAATATAATTTCCTAATATCCTAGACTATAATGTATGTATTCGCCACGCCGATGTGTGTATGGCGTCGCCGCGCACCATAGACGCTGTAAAGGTGTGAAGGTGGTGGGTCGCCACGCCTCGCCACGCCGCCATAAAAACTATGCATATTACATTAGCAACATTTTTATTCTAAAATTCTCCGGAAACAAACAGAAGTGACATATTCAGATCCACATGTGCTTCATCTCTAGGAATGACGCTACCTCTGGACTTTGTTTCAGTTCCGTGGCAATGCACCGGCAGATCTATAACAAGTAAGTAAAAAGTAACGAATGAGAATGCAGAGGATGCGCGCTGCTACCAATAGGATTGAGAACCATCCACATGAGACTTAAATGTAAGATGTTTCCAAGACCAAGAGGCTATTGAGCATCATGTCAAATGACAGAAGCTGGAAAAGACAGCAGATGATGAGATGGTCCATCAGAGAAACAACTTATGGATCCACCAGGTTATCAACCATTAGAATCACTATGGATTTTAACCCTCTTCAGCTAAGCTTATCTCAGTCCAAATGCTGCGAAACTTAATGTCCATGTTTGATGAACCTACTTGAAAAATATGTTTTTCTATAACACTCTGTTGACAACCAAACTTGACATCTTTTTATATGCAAACTATGCTTCTGTCTGAGATATTAAGTTTGCCTAATAAGGAGTTATAATACTTCAGATTCACCCACATGCGCTAACTAGAAATCGTGGGGCACCGATGTGCTCATACTAGAAATCGTGGGGCACGGTGTTTCCGCGCCATCGTTGATCCAGCGAGTCATGATTGTGTGTGGGATATCCAACAGCTTTTGTGTGTAATGGAGAACTGTCAATGATTTCTAAAGAAAAAGATTTCAACCAAATTGCAGTGCCTTATCTATATCTTTGTATTTATTTGTTGTTGCATATAGCAGCAATGTATTTATTTGTTGTTGCATATAGATATAGCAGCAATTAATCATTCATGTAGCTCGCACTCAGTCGGCCTCTTTTAGTAGCACTATTGTAGATAATTGCTCCAGAGTTTAGGATTTACAGGTTTCTGCAACATAACAAAAAGCAATATGATTTAGACCAGACCTACACATTAAGCAAGTAGGGGATTGACCACATGGCCGACGAACAGCACCACACCAGTCGTGTCTTCTCGGATCAAGAAGAGGAAAGGGTGATCCGCGATGAAATAATCTGGGTGTATTCTCCTAAGTGAAGTACCCCTCGTCACTATAGCAGATGCTGCAGCAGCCTCGGTTCCTTCCTCGTTAACTTCCACAAATGACTTGTGAAGAATGGACGAGACAGATAATTTCAGTGGCACGGGTGAATCAACAAACTCTGACAGATCTGCTTCTGGGCTAAACGGCAGCTGGAGCCCCAAACCTTTCAGCAACTCGGATGCTTCGAATCCAAAGGATATCTTGAACTTGGGGACCTTGATCTGCCCAACTGGAATCTTCCTCGTTGGGATATGCCTGTCCAGGAACTCAGGTTCAGAACTCAACTTTTGAGCCAAGCTCCAGAGGCCATCTTGTGCTTCTGGAAGAAGTATGTACATGGAGAACTGCCTCTTGTCACCACCTTGCTCGTACGGAAGCCTGAGCACCTTCAAGTCGCCGTAAGATGCCATATATTGGTCGTCTCTGCTGGACATGAAAGGTGCTTCAACTGAACTCCCGTTGAGAAGGTGGAACTCACCGTCTCTTGTTTCAGATGCATCGAACTTGTTAGTCCAAGCTCCTTTGAAATAGAGTGCATTGCCAAGAACCAGCCTAGTGGATTCATCAACAGAGCCCGGTGGCAGAAGCTCTTCGATTGTACCTGAGGTGACTTTCTCTACCCATGTGTTCACTTGACCAGCAACTTCTGCAGCCTGACAAAAAAGACAACATATATAGGAGTACATGAGCCCTCCACGCAAATAAGTCGTAATAATAGAAAAGCTATGCGCATGGTTTCCAAATTGATTGAACGGATAAGATCGTGTAAAGAATTAGCAATATATTTGCTTAATTTTTTTATTTTTTATTTTTTTTTTTAAAAAACGGACGGCAAGAGCTTGCTCTGCCGAAATTTTATTAAATTAAATAATAACAAGATCGATCCATCAGAGAAACAAGGAACACTACTAGCTCACAACTGGCGCTGGGGGGATCTATCGCACCACAACAAATAACAATGGCTACTACTAACTAACCATGCTAGAGCTAGATGTTTGCAAGCAAGCAAGCAAGGGGATCATATTATATCATATCAGACCTGTTTCTGGAAGTCGACGGAGTGGGTGTAGGCCTTGTACTTTCCCACGGCGAGCTCCTGGAAGGCCGGCTTCAGCTTCCACGACGCGTCCGCGAAGACGGCGTCCGCGAAGGCGATCCGTGGGCCTCCCGCCTCGGACCCGTCGGCCATCACGATCCGTGCCACCTGGTCGGCGAGCGCGTGCAGGCTATCGGCTGCGTCCGGGCCATGGCCTCCGCCGAGTGCGGCGAGCAGCTGGTCGCGCGTGGCGCCGCCCGAGCCGGCGGCGAGGAGGCTGAGCGCGACGTGGAGTGACAGCGGGGAGAAGACGGCGTTGGTGTTGCTGACAGGGAGAGCGGGAGAGGAGGGGGAGGAGAAGGCAGCGGCGAGGCAGAGCGCGAAGCGGGTCTGGTGCGCGATGGAGAGGAGCGTGGCGGCGGTGGCCATGGTCCGTGTCGGTGTCGGTGATCCGAGCCGTTCGATTCCTGGGACTTGGATTTTCATTGGTAGTATATATATATTAGCAGCAGCAGAGGTGTTTGTTTGGCTAAAAATCTGGATCTAGATTCAGTTTTGGTAATCTAGAGCAAATTAACATGCCCTGCCCATAGAATAGAATAGATTCACAGTTCCTTTCCTTGCTCGGAGTCGCCTCAGCCTTCATCTGCGCAAAGGAAACACAAGAGAGGTGCAATTTCGAACAGTCCCGGGGTGTTTTCAGTTACTATATATTTTGTTGGACTACAGGTCACGAAGACGCGTCCTCCGTTGTTGTTGTTGTAATTAATAATATAAGATATAAGAAAAACACGTTAGACTAGACGCGGGGAGTCAGATCGGGTATGCATGCTTAGTCACAAGCAAGAGTTATAGATGGGCAACGGGCCAGCCCGGCATGGGCCCGTGCCAAGCACGGCCCGACAAGGCCCGGCACGACAGGGCCCAGCGTGCCACCGGGACGTGCCTCCCTGGGCTTCGTGCTTGACCGACGGCCTAGGCACGGCCCTATGGCCGCTTTCCGTGCCGGGCTGGCCCGCAAAGCATGCCCTGTGAAGCCTATCAGGCCGGTCCGAGGCCCGCTTGCCAGGGGAAGGGGAGGGAAGGCGGAGGAGAAGCCGAGCATGTTGAGGCCGTCGCCCTTGTAGTCGTCCTGTGGCGAGGCGGATCCGGACGTAGGCAGCCACGGGAGGTGGCAGCGGCCGCCGGCATGCTCGCTCGCGAGGCGGATCCAGGCGTAGGTGGTGGCCGCGCACCCAGGGAGGGAAGAGGAGGGCGGCGCGAGCATCTCCATCTTGAGAACGAGGAGGAGCAGAGGGCGCCATGACTCGGATGCGGCGCTGGGGAAAGAGGACAACGGGAATGGGAGGAGCGGAGGGTGGCTAGGCGTCGCGACTCGTGAAGTGCGTGTGCGGACCGCGGACGGCACTGGGAGAGAGGGGGCATGAGCGGCTGAGTGCGGCGTGGGGGATGGATCGGGCATCGGGGAAAGGAAATTAGGGTTAGAGGGTGTCAGCGCGAAAACGTGGTAGCCGCGTCGGGTGGACACACAGCAAGCCGAAACGATGTGGAGATCTACCTGGCTTCAACGCAGGACCAGTCGATTCTATGAATTCCCAAGGACGTGCCAGTAAATTTGACCTACAATTGATAAGGAGGAAAAGTGTATCAGTAATTTAGGGTGGAACATGCTGGTTTTACCCAGATAGTTCCAAGTGTGCCGCTTTGGGAGCAGCCAGACGGGAAAATCGACTAAATAGCCGATACGAGAAGAAATCGACTGTTAAGGACTGTAACGCTCGCGGGTCATGATTGATTTTATAGTAATGAATACAATGCGTCCAGTTTTAATGATTCTTTTCTTTAAGCTATTAACATATATGCGTCAAAGATACATCACTAACTAAATTAGATTTAATCAATACGTGCTGTAGAGCCAATGAATCCGGTGAAAAAGGATTTACCACACAAACAATCGACTGTTTGATATAGATAGATCTACGAACCGTCCAGATCTAATCTATTACCGTCAACAGTGAGGCTCGATCGGATTGATGCAGCTATGATGATGATGATAGTCTATAACCAGAAAATCCATAGAACCGACCATACTTCAACAGGTTCATGAAAGCGTGCCATATCTGTGAAAGCACAGGCGAATCGGCTAAAATAGGCGATTTAGGTAGAAAAGGGATTACAACATGTGAACAATCGACTGTTTAATATGGACAGATCTATAAACTCATCAAATCTAACCTATTATCCTTAACAGTTAAAAGGTCCTAATGGCTAGAGGGGGGGGTGAATAGCCTAATAAAATTCTACAACAACACTTAACAAAATGTGTTAGACAATTTTGCGGCGAAGCGAGTGTTGCGCTAGCCTACTAAAATGCAAGCCACCTACCACAATTCTATTTCGAATAGTGTATGTCCACACAATAGCTATGACACTTAGCTAAATTAGTGTGCTCTCAAAGACTAACTAAAGAGCAACACTAATCAAACAAACAAGCTCTCACAACTAGCTACACTAAAGAGCTTGATAACTAGTTTACGGTAATGTAAGAGTGAGCAAGAGAGTTATACCGCCATGTAGTGGTAGGAACCAATCAATCACAATAATAAATACCAATATAGACCAATCACCTCGGAATCAAATGATGAACACAATGATTTTTACCGAGGTTCACTTGCTTGCCGGCAAGCTAGTCCTCGTTGTGGCGATTCACTCACTTGGAGGTTCACGCGCTGATTAGCATCACTCGCCAAACCCTCAATAGGGTGCCGCACAACCAACACAAGATGAGGATCACACAAGCCACAAACAATTTACTAGAGTACCTTTTGACGCTCCGCCGGGGAAAGGTCAAGAACCCCTCACAATCACCACGATCGGAGTCGGAGACAATCACCTCCTCCACTCAACGATCCTTGCTGCTCCAAGCCGTCTAGGTGGCGGCAACCACCAAGAGTAACAAGCGAAATTCGCAGCGAAACACAATCACCAAGTGTCTCTAGATGCAATCACTCAAGCAATGCACTTGGATTCACTTCCAATCTCACTATGATGATGAATCAATGATGTAGATGAGTGGGAGGGCTTTGGCTAAGCTCACAAGTATGCTATGTCAGTAGAAATGGCCAAGAGAGTGAGCTTGAGCCGGCCATGGGGCTATAAATAGAGCCCCAGTCAAATAGAGCCGTTATACCCCTTCACTGGGCAAAACGCGCTCTGACCGGACGCTCCGGTCATACTGACCGGACGCTGGCCCTCAGCGTCCGGTCGCCCGATGGACGCCACGCGTCACCAGCTTCAAACGTTGTTCGTTAGATTTCAACGGCTGTGAAGCTGACCGGACGCTCTGGTAAAACTGACCAGACGTTGAAGCCCCAGCGTCCGGTCGTTTCCAGTAAGCTCCCCGAGGCATGTTTTTTCGACCGGACGCGTCCGGTCCACCTTGACCGGACGCAGCCAGCGTCCGGTGCTCAACCCTAGCCACTGTGCCGTCTGACATCTCGACCGGACGTAGCCTTTCAGCGTCCGGTCGCTGAGTGACCCAGCGTCCGGTCAGTAGACCGACGCCAGCATCATTTCGATCAACTCCATTTTAACTCTTACTTCTTCACCCTTGCTTAAGTGTGCCAACCACCAAGAATTTTGCATCCGGCGCAATAGAAAATAGACATATCATTTTCCCGAAAGCGTCGAATCCCGCCTCGCAAGCATGTGGTAGCATATTTACACAAATATTATCAAGGGTGTTAGCACTCCACTAGATCCCAAATGCATATGCAATGAGTTAGAGCATCTAGTGGCACTTTGATAACCGCATTCCGATACGAGTTTCACCCCTCTTAATAGTACGGCTATCAAATCTAAATGTGATCACACTCTCTAAGTGTCTTGATCACCAAAATAAAATAGCTCCTACAAATTATACCTTTGCCTTGAGCTTTTTGTTTTTCTCTTTCTTCACTTCAAGTTTAAGCCCTTGATCATCTCCATGCTATCACCATTGTTATGTTATGATCTTCATTTGCTTCTTTACTTGAAGTGTGCTACCTATCTCATGATCACTTGATGAACTAGGTTAGCACTTAGGGTTTCATCAATTTACCAAAACCAAACTAGAGCTTTCAACAGTGGGGTTCGACCGGATCGATGACAGCCATGATAAAGATAACAGATCAAACCTTTAAAGTAAACAGAACTATTCACATAACAGAATCATGAAGACACACTATAAGCTTTAAAATATGGGCAATCGGCTATTTAGCCGATGCAGGCATAGCAAACAACCAAGGTCACGCCTGGTCAAAAGCAAATCTACCAACTAACATACTCTGATTTAAAGTGCCAACAGTGTGGATCGATCGGATCGTTACTGCCATAATAGCGAGCTATAGACCAGATTCAAGTAGCTAGTAAACCTTCTCAAGATTAGACATACCTTAGCCACGTACTATACACGATCAAGATCGAAGTAGAACGGTCGATAAAACATAATCCATCGTTTAAAGTAAGAACCATCACAATGTGACAAAATAAACGATAGACTAAAAGAATATGAGGCCGATCTAGATCGATCTCGATTGGGCAGGTTGATATTGCTGAAACTAATGACAACAAGAACATCAACAAGATCGGTAACTTAATGAATCTACACTAAGGATGCCACCCTTAGGTAGAACCGATAACTTGACCTTAATCTAATTCGAGCAGTGGAGGTCGAACTTAACCGATGCAGCCGTACTTGAACTAGATAAGGATAGATAACTAACTTATACTAGAGCTCGTAAGAGGTCGGCCGGACCGATGCAGCCTTACAAACAAAAGTATAAGCCATGACGGTACTTACAGATAAGCCGAAAGTCGACCGGATCGATGCAGCCCTGCTTGTTGAAGAATTCGTCGAGATCTACAATACTCCTACTCCTATGGGTTGACATAAAACCAAAAAAGTAATTGGTATTGATTGATTGGATGTTTCTTACAATAGTCGGGGTCCAATATTTATACCCAGAACTTAAACATGAATCCTACTCAAACTGACTTATTGCAATCTTTGAAATAAAAGAAAACATTCCTAATTTAAGATAACTTGGATTCCAATCCTTTTCCCTTTTATAGAGTCCGATATTTTTCTCCCTGACGCCATCCGTACGTAGTCTGTCGATGTTGTCTGCTGACATCATCTATAAAATAGTCGATTCCGACACTGCATCAAAACCAGCTGATATCAATTCATATCTGATCGATCCCTTGATGATACAATCTTAGGAGCTTCGAGTTCTCGCGTTCTTCTTTCCCAAATTTTGGTGTAAACACATGGCCCCAATTTTGGGATAAAAGTAATTTTATTCTAAAATTTACCACGCCTGTACCCTCGATGGGTCCGTGGTCACGGGTAGAGAACCTTGACCTAGGGCCTACTATCTGTCACCTTCACCAACGTCTTTGCCTGCTTATGAGCCCACACTTTAAAGCTTTATGAGAGCACTATTACTTCACGGGCGCTTGGATTCAATCTTCCAGACCGACTATAAATGCTTATCCGACCTTGGCGAGAGGAGCCCAACGACTCAGTTATGTTTCCCTTCTGCTTGCTTCCTCGAGTGCCCTTGGCTCTGCTAGACCCTCTATGATCTAATTCCTTACTATGAGGGTCTTGAGTGGTTAGAAGAATTCTTGTGCATAGGACGATTGTGTCGCTCATTTCAGCGCCTTGTTGAGCAAGAGGATCAGTTGCTGCGGTTAGAAGAATTCTTGTGATGTCACCTGAGTTTTCTCACCATCAGCGCAGAGCTGTTCTAGTGTTTGTAAGGGTTCAAATGTGTGGACACCTTCCCCTTGTTCACTCTATCAAGTGCTCGTATCGAGAAATCGGTTGGATATAACAACAAGATCAAAATTCATAAGAATCATCATGTCGGTGACATGGGTTGCAATAATTAGATCTACCATATTTAACAAAAAAGGCTTCAACTAAATACATATTAAACTAAATACATATTAAAGACACATATAGGTGCCATGTAGAGCTGTTGATGTGGTGGATGGTAAAAACATATTGAGAAGTTGATAATAAGTTCATAACAGCTGAAATAGAGATAACGAAACGTCTCTATGGTTATTTTGGACAAAAAAAATGAATAAAAAGAGAAGTGAGCAAAGATGAGTAAGGCCCTGTTTGCTGGGAGAAATTTGGAGAAATCTGGATGAATCTGTGGGAGAGTGAACAGTGTTTTTTCATCCGCGCATAGTAAAATCCGGTTGGTTTTTCAACCAGCCGAACGAGCCCTAATTCTAGCTATTTGTATATATGCAGATTCTAAAAATGGACTTCTTTTTGAGCCCAGCCCTGGAATCGACTCTTTTTCGGCTAGAGCGCATTTCCACCTGTAGGAATGGAAGCAGAGAATATGAAATTGGCTCTCCTCCCAGGCCTTGGATAAGATTCTAGCTGGTGCTCCTAGTTTTATTAATGAAGAAGCGTTTGATGAATATGTCCGGTGCCATTATTCTCACTTTCATTTTTGAAATCAGAACTGTGGTTCGTTTACGAGAAATTTCTCCATGCAAAAACAGAGAAAAATGGTTTATTTAATTTCGTTTATTAAAAAATATTAAGAGTCAGTACAACTGAGATATCTGTTCTGATGAACGACTGATACACATAGTAGATCACTTGTTGCATGTCGTCGGCAGCGGAGGTCCACACAAGCACTTGTTGTGCTGGTAGTTGTAGGCATCGAACCTCGCCATGTTGCCGCCGGTGGGCACGCCGCCGCAGAGCCGGTTGTAGCTGACGTTGAAGAACTGCAGGTTGGTCAGGTTCGCCACCTGCGCCGGGATGCCGCCGTAGATGGCGTTGTGGCTCACGTCCACGAAGTAGAGCTGCTCCGGCAGCTCCACGCCGGAGAGGTTGAAGCTCAGCGCGTTGCGCGACAGGTCCAGGTACTGCAGTTCCTTTGCCCCGCCGAACAGGCCCGACGCGTCGCCGCCGGTGAGTGTGTTACGCGACAGGTCGAGGTGCGCGAAGTTGACGGCGGCGAACTCGGCTGGGATGCCGCCGGACAGGTTGTTGTGCGACAGCACGAGGTAGGCCTGGTCGGGGGACCTGCTGAGGAGCAGCGGAGGGATGGCGCCGGTGAGGCGGTTGCGGCTGAGGTCGATCCCGGAGAGGTACGGGAGGGCGGCGAGCGACGCCGGGATGGCGCCCGTGAGGGAGTTGAATGGCAGCTCGAGCAAGGTGAGCGCGGTGAGCTTGCCCAGGAATGACGGCACGGGGCCGGAGACGCCGGTGTAGGAGATGATGAGCATGGAGAGGTTGGAGAGCCTGGCGATGGCGGGCGGGATGGGGCCCGAGATGCCGGGGAGGTGGTGCAGCATGAGGTTCCGGAGGTGGACGAGGCCGCCGATGGCGTCGGGGATGGTGCCGGTGAGGTTGGCGTCCTGGAAGATGGAGAGGCCGACGACGCGGCCGGTGAAGGGGTCGCAGTCGACTCCGTACCAGTCGCAGCACGAGGAGTCGGGCGTCCAGGACGCGAAGTGGTAGGGGGTGCCGAACGCCGCGTCAATGGCCAACAGCGCTTTCTTGTCGTCGGAATGGCAGCGGTCCTTGCTTGAGGCGGCGGCGGCGGCCGAAGCCGCAGCGAGGAGGAGGACGAGGACGAGGGAGGTGCGCATCGCCGTCGTCGTCGTCTTCATCTTGGACGTGCACGGGGGGTCGCTGCAGCTTGCAGCTGGCTATGGATATATATTCCCTGCTGGGCTAGCTTTGCCAAGAAATGCAACAGAGACTTGCTGGCAAGTGCCAAACTGCCGACTCATGGATGAGCGCCGACAACAAGATAGCCGCCGCCGCGTTTGGCACTTTGGCAGGAGCAGGACAGGCCACTCATGGAAGCGAAAGGGATAGATGGTCAAATATCTCAAGCTACACTCTGACTTGGATAAGACTAGGAGCAGCATGCAGTGTGGATCACTGTGGTCTCTGGACTGGAGAAGGACTATCCAGCTGTTATCTATCGGCAATGCTTGTATCCCTGCGTCCGGCCCGAGACTCTCGTCTGAACGAGCCTCATCCACTTATTTACAGAACCAGCCCGCATCGCACGCCCTTTCTACACTGCGCGCCCCCGCTTGCCCGTGCCGCCTCCGCCGTCCGGACTCGCACCTCTCGTCGTGGCCGCACTCCATTCGCCTGCCACGGCCACTGTCGAGGTCCATACCGCCAATGAGCTCCGCACCGATGACCTCCAAGCACTCCGTGGCATCGAACTCCGCGATAGCGTCGAGCTCCACAAGGACGAGCTCCATTCGTCTAAGCATGAAAGGATCTAAACAATACCTAGAGGGGGGTGAATAGGCGTATCTAAAAATTTCTACGTAATCTCAAAGTCAAATGTCAGTGATAGTCAGAAGTCCCGACAGTTTGGGCCGGAACTTCCGGTATCTCGCACTAAAAGTTCATTTTAGCACTTGTAGTTAAATTCTCGTAGGTGCCGAAACTCCCGGCTGTTTGCGTCGGAACTTTCGGCTGCCGGAAGTTCCGACGCAAACAGCCGGGAGTTTCGGCACCTACGAGAATTTAACTACAAGTGCTAAAATGGTCTTTGAGTGCGAGATATCTTACAACCCCACTTTCTAGTGGTAAGATGAAGTGTTGGGGCTGCTCCTTTGACGCCGGAAGGTCACCATTCCGTAGATCGAGTCCAAACCCTAAGAGGAAAGTTGGGGAGGAAGACAAACCAACAAAAACAAATATGATAGCACAAATCTCAACAACAACAAGCACGCGGGACACAAGGATTTATCCCGAGGTTCGACAACCCCACAAAGGAGCTCCTACGTCCTCGTTGTTGAGGTGACCACAAAGGTCGGAGTCTCTTCCACCTCCTTGCCTCTCTCAAAGCAACCACAAAGATCACTCGAGCTTTTCACTAAGAAAATGAGGGTAATACAAACTTTTTAAAGCTCTTCCACAAGATGGAAGCTCTTGGGCGATGTCTAGCCGGCTAGGAGCAAAGCTCCAAGAGTAAAAGATGCAAATCCAACCGGCTTGATGAAAAAATCGAGTACTCATGCTTGTCAAAGTGATTCTCTCACTCAATCCACTCTCCTTTCACTCAAAACCCTAAGGGAATCGAAGATTGGAGCAATGGGGAGAGGAGGGGGCGCCTTGAATGCTTGAGAGCTGTTTTAGACGAAGGTTGATGAGCAATGAATGAGTGGGTGACGGTTAGAAGAGAGGAGACAGCTATTTATACTCATAGGCAAAACCAACCGTTCAGATCTGAGTTGGAAGTTCCGACACAGATCGTCGGGACTTCCGGCCCTTCTACAAAACACTGTTCACTAGGCGCAGACCAAAGGGCTAGCTCGGCTGGAGTCGGAACTCTCGGCGTCTGTCGGGACTTCTAGCAGTCGGGACTTCCGACAGCCAGCCGATCCTGGCGCCTAAGTCCAAGAGCGCCGGGGCTTTCGGCTACCAAAAGTCCACCGGCTGCATCTAAGTGTTCGTGAGGTGATTTAGTGTCTCTCTTTTGATTTTATTTATTTGCTTGAGCACTCTATCTTCCTCAGACCACCAAAACTTGCATCCCTCTTTATAGTACGGCGGAACCTAAACTCAAAACAAAAGATAAAACTTTGGAGAGCGCTTTGAGTTTATCCATCTTTTCAATTTCAAGAATTGAGGGATACAATTTCATCTTGGATCAACATTTTAAAACTTTCATGGGACTAAAGCTGCAATATATCTCATTAAGATCTCATTAGTCCCTAAATTGGATGTTATCAATACACCAAAACCCACATAGGGGGTAAATGCACTTTCAATCTCTCTCTTTTTGGTAATTGATGACAACCAACTTAGGCTTTTATAAGAATGAAATAACTTAAAACTTTTGAACCCCAAAATCTATGGATAGCTCCCCCTTAATATATGCAATGAATTTGAATTTCAATGATGATCATAAACACATCACTTGCATGTATTAAGATAGAAGCTCCCCCTAAATTTTACAATCCATGGGGTGCACCAAATATATGTGAACAAGTGAATATCCGTGAAAAAGAAGATGCAATATGACATGTTATATTCACACAAGTAAAAGAAAATATGATGGCCAAGATCTTAAAGTAACAACTTGAAACAACACATGGCCATCCAAAATAACATCCACCATTCACATGTAGAGACTAATAGATATGTAGATAAACATTACTTGTCCTACAATCATCCATCACACACACAAATATAGTTGTCCATCACATAGTGTCACCACACGACATAGTTCATACAAGCTAAAAGTTTTAAAGTCTCACAAGCCAACTAACTTATTACAAGATAGATCAAAGCCTAACACTCCCCTTTGTCAACAAGTGCCAAAAGGGGTAGGCTGCGTGAAAGAAACGACTACTCATCCTTGTAGTCCTCATCGTCATCATGGTCACCATCATCACCACCATCGTCGTCATCATCATCATCCTCGATGTACTCCTCATCCTCGGCACCGGCTTGTTGCTTGCCATGGCGACGGGGCTGATCGGACGACTCACCATAGGAGTCCTTCAAGCCTCATCATAAAGCTCAAAAGGATCACGAAGAGGCTCCAAGTCATGAGGCGGTGTAGAGTGACTGTCCAACTTCTGCTCAATCCAATGCATCCTCACAAGCAACTCTTGCTCACACTCCGTGCTAGCACAAGAAGCTCCAAACATATACTTCATGAAGAACTTGAACTTGCTGGGGGGCTTACCACCGGAGGAAGAGGAGGACTAAGGCTCCTCACTATGAGCACGGCGAGAGCGTGAAGCACGTGGTGGAGAAGCATGTGAGGAGGAACCTGTGGCACCTTTGCCTTTTCCTTTGCCCTTGGCGGCCTCCTCTAACTCTCTCTTCGCCTGAAGGGAGAGCATGTTGGAAAGTTTGAGCTTCTTGTGAGGATTGTCTGTAGGGAAGTGAATGCCAGACACATGCTCAATGATATGCATGATATATGGTGCATAGGGGTAGTGCTTCACCACATCTTCACTAGCATCAAAAATCTTCGTCCAAATATACCGGCTAATAGAGAACTTGGTAAACTCATCGCCAAAACAGTCAAGAACCACCTGAGAGTCATCACGAAGATGAGTAGAGTCACCACGCTTGGGATACAAGATCTGGCGAAGAATGTTGTTGAGCACATAGTAGTAGGGCTTCAACCAAACTGTTTGCCCATCAGCAGGATGACCATCCAAATACATGTACTGATACTCATCCATAGCAAGAGGGGAAACCTCAGCAATAGTTGTTGAGCGGCGATCCCGACGATCCTAACTAAGAAGGCGAGCAAAGGTAGGAAAGTCAATCTTGTAGTGCTTCCCTTTAGTGGTCCAATGAATGACATGAGTAGCTTCACGAGTGTCCAAATGATAGGAGGCATAGAACTGACAGATAATCTCATTATTCCACGGCTTATGGAACTCCATCAGCTGCTTTAACCCCATCCTCTTCAAGTCAGTGATCATTTGCTTAAGCACCAAACCAGGCAACTTACCAAGTTCATAGGTGTCAATGGACTTCATCTGAACCACTGGAGCCTCCTGCTTGTTGATGAAGCGGAGATAAACCAAATGATGATAGAAGTCAAAATGAAATGGTTGCCAGAACCTATACACAATCCTCAAATCCTTGGGCTCATCATAGAGAGGTTGGGCATGCCGACGACGAATTTTAGCCACATGGCGATGATAATCCACCATCAAGTGCGGGGTGTAGCCACTAGCGGGATTGGGGGTGCGCTAAGGCTCCTGGATGGATGGAGTAGGACCGGCGAACGGAACCAACCGGCTAACCCCAAAATAGCCCAGCCCAGAAGGCGGGGTCATGGTGCACACATCCTCAGCAATAGTCCTTCCTTCTTGATCAAGGGCTTCCTCAGCAGGATCAACAATGGGCATATCACTAATGCTAGGAACAAACTCCTGAGCAGCAGCACCGACAAGTAGAGGAGGACCGGCTGGAGCTTGAGCTTGAGCACCTCAAGCGCGAGAGGCGTGGCCACGACCATGAGAACCAGCATCATCACGAGGGCATGACGCCTTAGTGTGTCTAGTCGGCCGAGAGGACTCAGCGGGGTCGTAGTTCTTCTTAGACCTCTTCTCGTGATGCCGAGGAGGACTATCATCACTACCGAACGCCATGACTACGCAGACAACAAAACGAGATTAAGAAACACGACAAAGAAGGACGAACAAGCATCGAGAAATGAAGAAACATGAATGGAGTAGCAACTGCAGAGTCAGGAGTTCCGACGTTAGTCGAGAGTCCCAGCAGTCAGGAGTTCCAGCAGGGAGCCGAGACTTCTGATGGTCGGGACTTTCGGTAGGGGCCGAGACTTTTGACGCACAAAGATGCAAATCCATTCACATGGCTTCACATCTAGACACACAACCAGACAAGGAAGATGGAGGAGAAGAAGGGAAGAAGAATAGAAGCAAAAATGCAAGGTACATTGCAGCTAGGGTTAGAGCAAAATGATTGTACCTCAAGGGAGAAAGAAGAAGAGATTGAGGATGAAATCCGTAGCACAGGCACCGAGCACAACATCCTTGAATCAAATCCACGGGCAGATCGACAAAAAACATGCACCACACCTTAACGGAGGAGGAGGGCCGGGGAGGAGGACTGGAGGCCTCGGTGGAGGTCAGGGATCTCA